CGATTTATCGCGCTACGCAAGCTGCACTAGCCGTTCCTAATTTTGAACTGACATTCTTAAAAGAGAAGACAGCTAGTGAATATCCACCAACATCTCTTAGGTTAGACTAATCGAATATTGGTATTTGACTGTCACTCTTATAACTCGCCCACATTCTTAATGTGTGGAACTCAATATTACAGCAATCGGACCTTCGAATTCACAGACTGACACCTTAATTGCTGAGCCACCCACGTACGACACAGTATAGTTTTTAACTAAAGTAAATACATATTTTTTAATTCGCAATGAATCAACGGTAAGTCTGCTGTATTAAGACGCTAAAAATCGGGTTTCGACACCCGTAGTGAGCACATCACAGATAGCCCATTGTATAGTATAATGATGGAGTCTACATATAACATCACATTGAATAATGTTTTAACAGTGTAACTATGTGACTGAAAATACCTAGTGAAATCACTCATGTTTTAGGGAACTCTCAACAACAACTATTAGGGTTTATTGCAATATTGGCGTTTATTTAGTATTTGCTGTGACCTACGAAGCCATGGATCCACCACCAATCTATATATATAAAACTCAAAATCTCTCCGTTTGTTTGTCCGCGTTCACTGCGCATGTCACACATCCCTCACGTGAAGGTGTACAAAAGACAATTTTTCGTTGATAAACGAGTCTATCGTCTGCTAGTAATTTTATCGGTAATATATACATTACACGAACAATTATTTAGTTTAGAGTAATTATATATTTTTATATGATGACTTCGCACACTTTACATTTTTGGTAAGTCTGAGTTAATATTTAATTTAGAATATAGCATTGGGATAGGCCTATTTAGTTATATATTATTAATTATACATATACTAATACATCATATATTTATTCTCACTCACAAAAGAAATCTATGCAGAATTAGAATATCATATGTGGAAAAAGCAAAAAGTAGGCCTAGCTTTTGCTGTCTTCCATAAAATAGACTGCGTGAAAAGAGTTAGGCTTAAATTATAATGTTTATTGTGTACAATGAGATTAAAATGAAGTCAGCGCTTGAATGAGGTTGAACCTGGAAATTGTATTTTTAATTTACTTTTTACAAGCATTACAATAGATAGGCCTATTTAGTTATATGTTATTAATTATACATATACTAATACATCATATATTTAACCTCACACACAAAAGAAATGTATGCAGAATTAGAATATCATGTGTGAAAAAAGCAAAAAAAGTAGGCTTAGCTTTTGCTGTCTCCCATAAAATAGACTGTTTGAAAAGAGTTAGGCTTAAATTATAATGTTTATTGTGTACAATGAGATTAAAGTCTAGTCAGCAAATGTATTTCATTCTACTGTTTCTCTCCTGATGGTTCGATATATGTAAGTAGATTTTTTTTTCTTTTGATACATTATAAACTAAAATATTGCATGTTGTTTGTAGTATATTTCATATATATATATATGTAACAGGTAACTAGTTTATTGCCACAAAATATTTTTTACCTATCAAAATATGGAACGGGCAAATAGAGAGAGTAGGGTTTTTCATCGAAAACCCGGGTAACGCTGCTAGTTTGGTATATAAAAATCTAAGATACCGATGGTCCCTACCACAATGATAACTTTAGGGTTAGTTTGAGAAATAATGTTGTAGAATGTCTTTGTGCTCGACCAAGTGGTAAAAAAAAACAACAAAACATTATCGTTCTGTAAATACAGACTTTCTGTTTCATACTTTGATGTTAACTTTTAAAAATGATTGTTTATACAAAACGTCTGGATATTGGGATCGAAACCCGGCGCTGAACATGATAACCCTTTTAGCCGTGGGACATCATAATCCCACTATTATTTGGCAAGGAGGAGCCCACGAGTTGGCGGTTTGTGCTGTCGACCGGTTGCCTTCTCTGTAGTCACAGTTTAATAGTAGGGACAGCGGCAGACAGTCTTATTAGTTTTGTCAAAATTGGTCATAAACAAACAAAAAGTCTTAACGAATTAGCCTTTTATTCCTATATATAAAACGTAATTAGTGAATCGTTTCAACAATAGATGGCGCGAATGTATAAAATATTACTGATAATTCTATGGGCAAGCAGCAGTAAATATATACAAAATTGAAAGAGCGATATCACATTTAAAAGAAAATATTGATGATATATTCACTGAGTGTCGTTTATCTTAGGAGAAATTAAAATATGCAGCATAGGATAGACAAGAGTGACATAAAACTTGTCTGTATAAGTTTATGATGCGACATTAGATATTCTAAAGTCACGAGTGACCTATACCAAACACATCAATAGTATATAGCTCAAATATTTTAGTGGAAGAAAATTAAGTAATATATTCAAATATGAAACTTTATTTCAACAAACAAGGATCATAAATGCGTATCTCACATTCTGGTATAATACGGTTCTTTTTAATGTGTACCACTTTAAAACACTAAAATTATTTTAATAAATTCATTTCTTGCTTATTTTAACAAATTCTAACTGATTAGTATATCTCGACTAACCTATCACGGTTTATAATATTTAATCATGAAGTCTGAAAACGCGATTTCGTTCTTTGGGGCAATTCGTATAAAAGTTTTCCTTCGCTATAAATAACTTGAGGTTAAGACTTAATAGTTTTTATGGTGTTTAGTATTGTTCTCATAGTTAGGAACCCAAGTCTAATTATCAATGAGGAATTCTTTTGTATTTGAATTCTATAGCTAGATATTAATTTGTTGCAAGCTTAACCTTACGTCTCTGCTGCTAATTAAGATTGGATCTGTGGTGGTCATGGCCTGTATTCGATCGTGGTTCTTCTTGATGGCAGTCAACTAGAGTTAAAAAAAAAACACCGTGAACAAAAAGGTTACAGACATACAGACTTATTCTATTATTTCACAGATCTCCGTAAACATACATAGGATAGGTAGACAACATAGAGTCCGAACAGTATTCAGAGAAACCTTAAGACCAACAAAGTTAGAATTCACGAGTATATCAGACATACAAGGCTCGAACTATCTACTGTACGATCAATTCGAGTACTTTACTTGCGGTTCTTTTCGAGGCTCAAATGCTCCTTCATGATTCACAGAGGTGTACCGATCATGCATTATCCTTAATTACGCAGAGAGTATTTTATCCGAAAACAAACATATCCTTAATTTCTGGTCAGCAGTTCTAAATTTTGGTCTCTGACCATGCCGTTTAACCCCTGTATGGCACAAAAGCGCCATCTACATTCAAAATACCAAAATTCCCATGGTTTATCAGATGGTTGGAAACTTGATGATTGTTAAATTTAAACCAGGAACTACATTCCGAAACGGACTAGTTTCACACAGAATCGTTTCGATCTCAGAAAATATTGATATTTTTCTAGTGAATAATTACTACAACATACACTATAAAATACACAACTAAGTGTTTACAAGAAAAGTTTCTATTGATTTTTTGTCGCTGATTCCTTCCTCCTCATATTATTCATAATTTTAATTCGATTGCGCTTTGACATAAACAAATGATTACGTTTTCGGCCGGTAGAGGTAGCGACAGGTCATGTGCTAAAGTCTACGATTACACAGTTCAATGTTCAACGACTAGTGAGACAGCAAGTTTCTGTTTACGAGTTTAATTAAGTGACCAACAAAGCAGTAGAGGTTTAACATACGACAGATAGTTTACTTTCCATTGCATTTAAACAGTTTCAGGTGATCATTTAACCCATACGTAGACAACAAAAATGGGTTCGGAGATCATATTTTTTATGACTTTTTTCATTGCTTGTAAGAATGGAATAGCAAACAGTTACACCGTCCCTTACAAAGAAATGTTTTTCAATCAAACTTTGGATCATTTCAACTGTGTGTCCTTCGGGGAGAAAACGTTTCAACAAAGATATCTACTTAAAGAAACTTGGTGGAACCAAGGAGTAGGGCCTATCTTCTTTTACACAGGAAATGAAGGCGACGTTGCTGTCTTCTGGAACAACACCGGTTTTATACAGGAAATTGCTCCCAAGTTTCAAGCTTTGGTTGTTTATGCTGAACACAGGTTTTATGGGAAGTCAGTGCCATCCGGAAATGACAGTTTCAAACATCCGATTGTTGGACTTTTAACGATTGAGCAAGCGCTGGCGGACTACGCTCACCTGCTAACTCACTTGAAGGAGGAACTCAACGCTAGCCAATGTCCAGTGATTGCATTCGGAGGTAGTTATGGGGGGATGTTGAGCGCGTACTTTAGGTTCAAATATCCAAATATTGTTGATGGAGCTATAGCAGCGAGCGCCCCTATATATCAGGTAGCTGGGCTTACATCGAGTTCAAGTTTTTTTCAGGCTGTGACACAGACCTTCCACAACGCATTGCCTAATTGTGAATCTCAAATAAGAAAGGCCTTTCAGATTTTAAACCAATGGGCCGCAGAAGGAGTCGTTGGATTTAACAGAATACGGAAGACTTTCAATCTCTGTGATGATATTTCTAATCTTACAAAATTTCAACATTTCCTTTCATGGGCAAGAAATGCTTTTGTCTTTGTCGCCATGATGGATTACCCATATTCTACAGACTTTATAGGAAAACTCCCCGGGCATCCAGTCAAGACAATGTGCCAGCAAATGTTCTCAACATCAGCACCGACGAAGGGTCTTGCCGTCGCTGTGTCACTGTTTTATAATGCATCTGGAGACAAGGAGTGTCTCGATGTGGATAAATTCATTCCGTGTGCTGATCCAACTGGTTGCGGAGAAGGCGAGAACTCTCGGGCTTGGGACTACCAGGCATGTACAGAAGTGAACTTAGAAGGAGGCAGTAATAATGTGACAGACATGTTCCCAGAGTTGCCCTTCACAGCCGAGATGAGGGACGAATATTGCCTAAGAACCTGGGGAGTGACTCCTCGACGAGATTGGTTAAAAACTCATATGTGGGGAAGAGATATTGCCCATTCCACAAACATCGTGTTCAGTAACGGTGATTTGGATCCGTGGACGCAAGGGGGCGTTACACACAACGTATCGTCTGGGATTCATGCTATCCTCATCAAAGGAGGGGCACACCATCTAGACCTAAGAAGAAGCAACCCTGCTGATCCTAACTCAGTTATAGTAGCTAGGTCGTTTGAAAAGATGATGATTTATAGTTGGATTAAACTAGCAAGGAAAAGTAAGAATTTTTAAAACATCTAACTGTTCATTAAAATAACTGAAGTAATAAGCGTTTTTGCAGAGCCATATTTTGTGTAATTATCAACATTTAGTTATTTACCTATCAATCTTTAATACTGCAAGTACTATTTTAATCGTTTAGTTCCTACGACAGAAGACAGTTGTTTTGTAAGTGAAAAGTTAAAATAAAGACGAACATTCGCTTTCCCTAATTCTGTGTTTAGTAATTTCAAGTGTTTCCACACTAAATGACTCTTATCCACGGCCGGGCTGCGGATCATGAGGTCTAAGGTTCGAACCCGCGATATACTGTTAAACACGCTATAAGTATTTAACAATGGAAGGTTACAGATGTGACCCGCTATTTATTTAAGAATAGCTGCCCACTAATTAGGGCTGTTTGTTGTTTTGTTACTAGAGGGTTATCTGAAATTCTAGCTTAGCGCATTCTGAGAAACTCAGGCCGAGAAGTGGTCAGCGTGCTTGCACTTTGGGACAATTGGGTGTTCAATAAGAGTAACAGTCAAATTATTTACTAATTGATAAGTCATGAGTAGCTCAAGAGGTGTCGGTGTGTGATGTTGACAAGATCCCTCTAATTTATTAGTTCAAAATTAAAAATGGACATGCGCAGCTGGCCGTTGTATAGCTTTCGGCAAAAATGATAATCAAACATTAAATATTTATTCAGGAAGATAGGGTTAAAGATTAAACTAAACGGTAATTCGGTAGAGGGCATACCTCCGGCTTTCAAAAAAATACGAAAATTTTGTCCGTTGGTATTAACGAACGCGGACCATTTTTAGCAGAACAATATGGAAAAATATTCTACATATGTCCAAGTTTCATCAAAGTCCGGTCATTTTTGACTGAATTATAGAGCAAAAATAGTGTGAAAAATCGGTCCTCCTGTTAAAATGGGATTTTTTTATTTTCTTGACCTTTGACCCTCCAAAAACTAATCACTTCTAAATTTGGTCATAGCCCAAATGTATACAATTTTTCCTCCAAATCCATTCAGCCGTTTTCGAGAAATCCTGCTGACAAAACACACAGAGGTAAAAACATAACCTTTGGTGGCAGAGGTAGCTAGTTGAAGTACCTGTTTAATGCACGGGAAAGACATAGGGTCCAGGGGCAACATGGTGAGTAAGATCTAAAAATGGGCTCCCCTACATCTTCCCCGGGGACCCTAAGATTATATGTTGGTTTGGAGACAAACGGTTGGCCAGCTGTAAGTAAACACATGCATACTTTTGTCTGGTAGTGGTTTAGTCTTCTATATTGGAGGGTTTTACATATTTTTATTAAGATCTGGAGTATATAGGTCGTTTTATTTTCTTTTTTGTTATCAAAATGGTTTAGAGTGATTGATTGTCAGATAAGTCGTGTATAAAAATAGCCTGAAGATGGCTGATGAAATTATGAACAAAAACTTCGGGGGGAAAGGGAACTGGAAGAAAAATAATCGCTTCCATATTTTAACCTAGAAACAAAACAGAAACCGAGCTGTTAATTAATAAAAATCGTTATAAATCTTGCTTGGTGAGAATCCCTTGATTAAACACTATTTTTCCGGGAACACGCGCTACCAGAGTGAAATTGACTATCTGTTATAATTAGTCTCACATCTGAAAGTATGGGCATATCGCGGCTCGAACCTTGGACATTTCGATCGGTAGTCCAGCATCTTAACTCTAAGGATGCGCTCGGCCTAATACTAAGTTAATGTGTTTAAGCCTATAAGAAATGATCTTTAAACTACAGTAACACACACACTCAACAAACAGGACGATCACAAGATACTTGACTTTACTTATCCTTTATTTAAAACATACTTTTTTTTTACAAAGAAATACTTAAGGCACTTGGCTTACGAAAAACAATTAAACACAGTAAATATAGTACCTCCATCAAGAAATAATATAACACAAATACAAAGTAAACGACTGGAAAAAAAAAAGCAAAATAATAATAATAGGTCACAGTACACGACCACAGTAACCTTACACCACCATTAGTTCAGTTTTACATGAATAAATTTTGTCTCTCTGAAAGTAATTTAGAAATCAAACACTTATAACTTCTACATGGTTCAATTGAATACATTACGAATGTGAACAAAAACATATCACAACTTCGATGACACAACTGTAATGGTACGGAATTTGTAACCATTCTCCTGATCATTATTTTTTGTAATGTTCATGCTAATTTGAAACTTGACTAGAAACAAGTACATTAATAAATTCACAAATGAACCAACTTTATTCAACTCTGACCTTTTCGTGAGATGAAACACCATAAACAAAAGTTTTTAGCTTCCTGCTCGAACCTACTTTATTGATGTCTTAGCTTCAGTAGTTACAATTGTAACCAATAATAACATTAACAAATCTTGTGTTGAAAAACAAGCTTGATAACCAAAGTACTTCTGAAACATGTTTATTAAATCTTACTCTCTTTTTTTTAATTAACTTGATATATGTACACCAATGTTCCTGAAGCTATAAAGAAAGTTCCAGCCTTTCAAGGCATGTTTTGAGACAATTAACCTCTATGTAAAAAATGAGGTCGGAGAGAGACAAGTTGTTATTAATAATATTTTCTCGTAAAGTGAGATCCAAAACGAAATAAAATAAGTTCAGTTTCACACGTATTGAATATCAGTGAAGCATTGACAGATCATTTCCAGTTTCATTGCCAATAGAGGAAGATAATGAACTGTATTTACCACATTCATCAAATGACGAGATAACACGTGTGGCCAAAGTACCTTTTAAACACATTAAACCAGGTGTGGCCAAAGTACCTTTTAAACACATTAAACCAGGTGTGGCCAATGTACCTTTTAAACACATCAAGTCAGTGTGGCCAAAGTACCTTTTAAACACATCAAGTCAGGTGTGGCCAATGTACCTTTTAAACACATCAAGTCAGGTGTGGCCAAAGTACCTTTTAAACACATCAAGTCAGGTGTGGCCAAAGTACCTTTTAAACACATCAAGTCAGGTGTGGCCAATGTACCTTTTAAACACATCAAGTCAGGTGTGGCCAATGTACCTTTTAAACATACTAAACTCTGCAACATGTAATGTTGGTTGGATTAAACTATGTTTACTTGAATAATGAATGCAAAACACTTATTTACATGCATACAAATGATTACCTTTCTTATATATAACTAACCATACATTTTGTTCAACATGTCTATAGGCTACACCCCTCCCCATCAGGGGCCACTTAAACCTCACCAAGGGGTTTCATCACTGCTTAATTAACTTGTGTCCTGATAATTTCAAGTGTCTTCACAGCTTAATTAACTTGTGTCCTGATAATTTCAAATGTCATCACTGCTTAGTTAACTTGTGTCCTGATAATTTCAAGTGTCTTCACAGCTTAATTAACTTGTGTCCTGATAATTTCAAATGTTATCACTGCTTAGTTAACTTGTGTCCTGATAATTTCAAGTGTTTTCACAGCTTAATTAACTTGTGTCCTGATAATTTCAAGTGTCTTTACAGCTTAATTAACTTTTGTCCTGATAATTTCAAGTGTCATCACAGCTTAATTAACTTTTGTTCTGATAATTTCAAGTGTCTTTACAGCGGACACAAGTTAATTAAATGATAATTTCAAGTGATATTAACATGTAAAGAAAACTTCTCCATACTTGTTTTATGTTTTGGTGCTATTGCCATACATATATATATGGATACCTGTCCATTGCCATACATATATATACATATATACCTGTCCATTGTCATACATATATATAGATACCTGTCCATTGCCATACATATATATGAATACCTGTCCATTGCCATACATATATATGGATACCTGTCCATTGCCATACATATATATGAATACCTGTCCATTGCCATACATATATGGATACCTATCCAATTTCTGAACATTCTGGGTTATTAGGATACAGGTGTTTCTAATTCTCGTGGTTAAAAATACTTAAGAGTTGCTAGGATACAAAGATCTGTAGGTGTTTCTAACTTTCTAAAGGTTTATAAATAAGCAGCAATATTGAAATCATTTAAATTTTCTAACTACTATTTTTATTACACACTTTATAACTGCTGAATACATACAATGTCAACTATGTATTTCAATTAACTAGTCCAGTTATTCAACAAAGCATTTTTTTATAACAATACGACTCTTTGTTATTCTGTGAGCAAAGTGTATAATACAATATTCTTATGATCAACAAATCAGGTCAAACACTAAACTTATGTAAAGCTATATCAGGAAATATATTATCCTTATCGAAAGCAATAAATACGGAAATATTCTTATGTTTATCTACTTAGGTTTTTCATTGTCCTTAAGGGTGTGAAAATCTAATGGAGACAGTATTTGTATACTAATCTGATTCTGTTCACTTCTGTCTATTTGCTAGATTAAACTGACTGAAAAAATATTCTTACGATTAATTCATTGTATTCAAACACATACGACTTGCACGAAACTTCAGATTTTCTTACATTTGATCACATTTCTGACAACAAGCCTATATAAAATACAAATCGAACACTAGTTTAAAAAAATAGAAATAAAATTAACTACCAATTTTATTATAAATACAAACTGTATCACAAATAGTAAACATCTTAGTAATACTTATTATAGAGAGTGACTGCAATGAAAGACAAGAATGACACGTGTAAATGCTTGTATCAACTCCTACGTGCTGCCTGTAAAACTCAATCATAATATCCTTTATAAGGCTATTACCCGATCTTTTTAAATACTGCATACATACACGTGTTTAATTGTTTTCCTTACAAATATTATCGCTTTTGAAAAGGTAGAACTCCAGATTCGATTTGTTGTTCCTTCTGCCATCTTGCAAAATGGCGAGGATTTCTTGGGCGGTTAAAACTTGCATTTAAGGCCTGTCAAATAAAAAACATGAATACTTCAGCAGAATTTAGCATCTTGAATTCCACAACAAGATGTCCTGTGGTTCTTACAGTACAATTCAAGACAAACAAAAGATAAATTGAAGCCACGATAACAACAGATGCAAACGTTTAGGTAATTGTTACTAAGAAATATGATGCACTAGGACAGTAGGGTAGACTGTCATTTGATAAACGATTGTTACTAAGAAACACGATGTACTAGGAAAGTAGGGTAAACTGTCA